GATGTGATAGATAGGTGTGTTGCGATTTGCATGTTACGATTTCAATCCGTGCTGCTCACTTTAGGTACAAAGCTGCCAAAAAACCCTAGATGGAATCCAGCCTATGGACAGGTCCCCTGAACTGCTGCGGCGCTTCCTGTTCCTGGAGAAATCGAAAATACCCTATTTTCATTCTATGTCATGCAGAGAATTCCGAAATCTTCCAGCTCTCCCTCTGCTTTGAGAATCACCGAACTTTTCGGAATTTTTTTTTGTGATTTTGTTTTGTATTACCGTTTCGCTCAGCCCACTTATCGACAGTGATCAACGCTTACCATTCAACTTCACAGAGCATTTTTCAGAAGCGATGAATAAGATTGTTTTTGTTCTCGCCCTGTGTGACATGGTCTTCTGTTTGACGAGAGAAGAGCTTCTGGAACATTTGAAAAGCAAACAAGAAACACAGAGCACATTTGACGCACGTGTACCTCGCCTAATTCGACCTATTGGTTACGTTAATGAGGAGTAAGTTTTTGGATACAAGAAAATCTTTTTTACTACATTATTTATGTGAGTAAGAGATGCTTCAAATCTGCAGGTTTGCCTTATTGAAACCAGTAGAGAAAGGAGCTTGCAAAGCCAATAGTATCACAATGTCGAAATGCAACTCCAAATAATAGAGAATCCATCTATTCATCTCACTGGGCAAAAGGACTACTACTCAGAGCGCGATACCCGTTGAGGAGTGGCTTGCTGTACAGAAATAACATCCATTCGATTATTTAACACGTGTCCCTTATTTCGAATGCAGATTTTAAGCATAAAAAAGGATAAAGCATTTGCCGTTGATCAATCCCTTTTTGGGATGCGGCACGCATTCTACTTCCATTTGTACATTCGTAGTGGCGTTTGAATGCGATGTGGCCTATACAATGACTTGCGGGGGCCAGCCGATGTACAAGTCAGTGTTTTTATCCTCCCAGACAAGTCTGGTACCAATTAACCGACCCCGGAGGGATGGAAGGCTTGGTTGGCCGGGCGACTCACGACCCAGGATTTGAAAACCGTTATTTAGACGCTAGGCTCTAAGAACTTTGACACGCTCCACCTGCTGCGACACGCTCCGCCCACCGCTCGATATCTTGACTGCGTCGGAATGTTGATCTGCTATGCTCTCTCTACTTAGACTTCTCTAGCGCTCTCCGCGCTCACATTATCTCTCATCTCCCTGCCGGCCTTTTGAACTTCTCCGCACCGTAGAGGAAATGGCTCGTATTTCCTAAGCATTTCACGATTTCTTTTTCTCTTTTCTGCACTGGCGGTCCACTACCTACCCCTACTTTCACATTTAAGTGGAATTAACTCATAATTCAATCCTGAATCTTGCCTTTAATCGTGGAGTGGTGCCTTTAAGCACCATTCTAGAGTGGTATGTTCTAAGGTTTCCATTAGCCGAAAATCGTATCACACGAATAGTGTAGAAGAAAGGAGCGACCAGTGATTAGAATCTTACAGCGCGCCTTGATTAGGCGATTCAGGATTGTTAGGTGAGATGCGAGACCGGGCATCAGTAGTAGGCTGCTTGCGCTATCTCTGCTTGTCCATGAGGGCTTTCGCCTGGGTGCCTAACGAAAGCACTCTAGCAAGAGAGGGTAAACATGTTTTTCAAGAAGTTCCAGGAAGATTTCGTATGTTATATGGTAGAAAATGGACTGACTCGCAGGGAAGACTGCATTTACCTTGAGCACTTATTCGTCCGTCGAAGTTCGAACAGCTCGTTCACACAGGTATCGCGAATTGTGAGTGTGTCCTCTTAAATAATTTGCTATACAAACGTTCGTTCAGGTCCACGTCTTAGCTAACTGCAACGTCGCGTATTTTGCTGAGCGTCGTACCTCTCCAACGGCTCGGCAGTCAAAACGTACTGATATGATCCATCATTGTCGATCAACGGCCAAATACACCTGCGTAGCCTGCGTTCGCATATTGATCGAAATTTCGACGGACTTGTAGATTGTGATTGTTAACACCCTAAAAATGGAATTACTGGGCCAATCTGAACATCGGGATTTCGCTAGGTTACTTACATTGACGGCAAATCCTGTGCCAAATGAGTCCGAGAGATCCTCGTTAAATGTTGCGGCGACCACATGCGTGAACGGGTTGAAAGCGGATCTGAACGCAGAACAACTGATAAATGACTGACGCTGAAATAGGGACACATGAATACGAACAACACACGTGGGGTCAATGAAAAAGCGATTGTAAAAAAATGGTTGTCGTGCTGTTTAATGCCTCCTTCGTAAGATTCTGGATGCGCTGAGGCGGTGTGACTTCATTCCATACGTTCCTTCAAGTTTGAAAATTGATCCATGGAGGCGTATCTTCCTTAGATTATTGATTTTTTCAGGAACTCAAAAACTTTCCAGTTGTGTTCGCGGAACTGATCATAGTTTCCATCTCGGATCAACACTCTATACCGAATGATCCGGGAGAAGGGTTTTAAATCTTCTCGAGTGCGTCGAAACAAGTGTCTACACTGGTGTGCAAAACTTAGGGACGAACGTAGCTTTTCCAACGACGTGTTACTGGCGCGTAAGATGACTCTATGGAACCTAACCACACATACAAAGAGCTGCCACAGGGCACTAAAGAAAGCAGTTAACAGGAACCGTTAAACGGTCCACAAAGCTTAAAAGGTTATGATACTTTCATCTGTCTTGTTCTTCTGCCAAGTTTTGCGCACCAGTGTACATCACTACCCGATATCAGAAAATGAAGGGCCTATCTGCGGCCACTTACCGTCCACTGAATACAGCCATCTGACCGGGAAGGTGCACATCTGGAACGGATGCAGGTTTTTCCCCGGCCTGAAATGAGTACATATTACTACACATATTAGATAAATGACTACATATATGGGCTTTGGACTCTAGGTATTCCTGCAAACGCGTCTGTTTACGCAGCGGGATGTCTACGTCTTGCTCGCTGCTATGCTCTCTCGTCTTTTCTCTCTCCTCAGCGCCCAGTGACTGTTCTTCAGAGCACCGTCCGCTTTACAAAAAGAAGAGCTAATTTAATCATTTCGGCGATTCGGCTTTGTTCACTGGTCAACCCATCGCATCTGTTCTTTGATTTTCGTAAGCGGAAAAAAGAAAACACACATTTTTTGTTGATAAGCCGTGCTTACTTGAACACGTAAATGATAAGCACAGAAAGGAAAGCCCTCATCAAAAGTGGCGTCGTAACTCATCTCAACCCCACATTGAGTGCTGAACGCACGAATACTCTTTTTCCGAAAACCAGATTCTCGCCGAGTGCAGATTGAACAACATAACTGACGATAGCCTTCACAAAGTATAATTTTTTTCTGTCGATGAAATGATTAGCCGGTTGCAGATGAGTTCTATCAGTTGTCACCAATAACTATCATTTAGCAACTACCAGCTATCGCTATGAACCAATCGTAACTAGATTTACTAGGAAGGCTGTCGTGTTTTGTGGTGTGTGGTGCTGCACTACCACCTGAAGGCAGTGTAAGCAGTGGTTACGTACCTTATCTCCAGCAATGTAGATGTTCGGGAAGAAAGGAGCGGAACGTTCGTCTGTCATTCCAGTCGGTAACTGAAGAAGTCCGAGACCTCGAGGTCGATCGACGTAGAAATTGTGCTTGAAAATCGCTGCCATTACCAGTAAAAAAAGGAATATAAGAAAGTTTAAAAAAAACAATTTTTGGATCTTTCTGCGGGAATTTCCATTTATTTCAATACTTTCTGCGAAGTAAAAATGTAGAGTGGAGAGATGCAGGCTATCCCGTCATCGTTGGTTCAGAAAATGGTCGAACCAATCAGGCATGAAACGCTTCGCCCAGCTCTCTCCTTCATCGTCAAAGAAAATGTGAGTATAATGTTTTCGTCTTACGTTATTGGTTGTGCGAATGCTTCAAAAGAATGTGTTGAGTTGTGAGCAAACTTTCACTCTAGCGGGAATTCGTACGGAATATTGCCCGGAAAGTGAGAGATCAGGGTACGATCCGGGATGGGACAAAAGTTTTGCCCACAACTCAGCATTCTTGTGATAGTTAGTAATGAGGGTCTTAGTTTCAAATAAACGCATAATTATCAAACTTGAACAACTAACCTCTTCCAAATACTCTCTCGATTATTGCAATGAGGCTAAGCCACTGCAGCATCCTGGACTTTCTGGAATATTATCAAGGAAGTAACAATTACAATGAACAACCTTCTGTTGCTAATAGTAAGTTGAATGAAGAACCCTCTTCACAAAAGCATTCCCACAGCAGAAGCGAAACAACGTTTCACGCGATGGGGTGGTGGGGTCCTAGCGGTAATATAAAGCAATATGGGTCAGTTTGAGAAGCTTAGAGGTTCTATGGCCAAAAACTGAAGCTAAGACTTTGAAGGAGGGTGACCAGAGAAACATAAGAACATGAAAAATATGTTCGAGAAATGGGTCACTAAGCAGGTCGGCTGCCCCTTATTCCATTCGTCTCATGGTCACCACATACCCACCGACCAGAAAACATATGCCGTCTTAGCGGAGTAGTCGGTGTTTTTGCGTGGAGCCGTTCTCGGGCGCATTCTATTCGAATTATGCCATTACGAGATCCTAGGAACCTGGCCCATCGTGGTTCACCGATACTGTGTTAATGAGATAGGACATCGACTACGAGTGCCGTTGAATTACGGCATTTTGTATTCTAAGCTCGTTCGCTCCACCTGTAAGGTTCACAGGTGCCGGGTCGCTTTGGGAGCAAAAAACAGTGAATAAACCATGCGTGTTAACGAGAGCCATGTGTTACCAATTTCTTTGAGTGCCTCAGTAAATCCGAGCAAGCTCAGCACTCACTGGCCTGACATGCGTTAAAGGACTGCTTAACGATCGCTACATTTCTTTTCTTTTATGGTCAAGATGTGATAGATAGGTGTGTTGTGATTTGCATGTTACAATTTTGATCCTTGCTGCTCACCATAGGTACAGAGTTGTCAGAATCTAAGCTCGGAGTTTACTAGGCTGCTTAGACTAGGTATTTCAACGAATAAACTAAGTTCATTCAAGAAAGCCTTAGAAAAGTACCTTGCATCCTAACACTCTTTGTTATGTCCTCCGTTTTTTTTTCTTTCTTTTCTTTCACTCTTGTAGCTCCTAGTTAACTATAGATAGCCTAGGAACTGTTCCTCTTGTTTGTTACCTCTGGGTTTTTATGCTTTTCGTTTTTATGCTTTTCGTTATTTAGCATGGGTGCTAACCTGTGCAATAAACAATTACAATTACACAGACCAGCTGCAACCTAGCTTAGGGTTAAGCCCGATGTGGTTCGGCGGCGCTTTTTGTTGCTATAAGAATTGAAAAAACCCCATTCCCAAAAACAATCCTCGTCATTCGTCTCTGATCTCACGTCCAGAAACACCAAGGTTTCGGAGAATTTTCATTAGTGACTTTGTATTGCCGTTACCCTTAGCCCACACATCGACAGTGATCAACGCTTACCATTCAACTTCACAGAGCATTTTTCAGAAGCGATGAACAAGGTTGTTTTTGTTCTCGCCCTGTGTGACATGGTCTTCTGTTTGACGAGAGAAGAGCTTCTGGAACATTTGAAAAGCAAACAAGAAACACAGAGCACATTTGACGCACGTGTACCTCGCCTAATTCGACCTATTGGTTATGTTAATGAGGAGGAAGTTATCACGAAGAAAGTCTTTTACTACACTTCTATTGATGCGTGAAAAAAGCATGGTTCAAAATCACACCAGGTTTGCCTTGTAAAAAAACCAGTAGAGACCATGGAACTTGGAAAACCAATAGCTTTCAGCAAACAAGGCTCTTGCGAGGACGATAAAGCCGAAATGCAACTCCAAGTAATAGAACTTGCATTTAACATTCTTACTGGGCAAAACGACAATAGGTCAGATTCACAGCCGTTGAGGGTTGGGTTGCTGTACAGAAACAATATCCATTCAAATATGTCCTTAGTTTCTATTCCTTTTTGAAATGCGGTCTCTTAAGAAATAAAAGAAAGAATGAACCTTTCACCCTTACTCATGCTCTTTCGGAATGCGGCACGCATTCTACTTCCACTTCTGCATTCGTAGAGGCGCGACGCGAAATGCGGTTTGCCCTATACAATGACTTGCGTGGGCCAGCCGATGTACAAGTCATTGTTTTTATCTTCTCAGATAAATCTTGTACTAATTAAACGACCCCGGAGGGATGGAAGGCTGGGTTGGCGTGAACGAAGCTCGTCCCAGGATTCGATCCCTGAACCGTGCGCGTGGTAAGCGTGCTGCAGTTTCTTAACGCAGTCCAAAACGAGAACATAAATTACATATTATCAGTCATTATACACAAGCCATCA